TCCACCAGTGCCTTTTGCAGAGAGATATTTTGTGTACACAGAAGCCATTCCGAGCTTGGGACCTGCCCCTGTGGGGATCCTGACTCCACCCAGGAGCAGAGCTGCCAGGCCTCCTAGAGGTCCCTAAGTCATCCCCTGAGGTCCCATCTGAAGCTGGAGTCCCCTGGGGTCAGTGGCAAGAGAAGAAAGAGGAGTCTTTTTGTTCATTTTTCCCTCAGCCTCACTACCTTGGGGCATCTAGATTTTCTCTTTATCTTCTCTCTCCTCTTTATTCTTGGATAAATAAACAGCCTGTGAGCACACAGGCGGCCTGGCCTAGTGTCTGTGGTTTGTACCTTGGCCTTTGGGCCCTTAAGTCCCAAAGTGGACCAGACCAGGACTGGGACCCCTTTCCTTGGAGAAGAGCAGATCTTTACTACAGGGACAAAAGCAAAAGTATTGGTTGTCTATTATTGTATGACAAATTACCCAACATTCAGCGCTTAAAGTGAGAACCATTTATTATCTTTCAGGTTCTGTGGGTGAGGAATTTGAGTTAAATTTGAGCTCAACCCAGTCATTTTTTTCTCTCAGCATTTCTCATGAAGTTGCAGTCAAGATGTCAGCTGGGGCTGCAGTCATCTGAAGGCTTGACTGGGGCTGAGGATCCATTTCCAATATAGCTCACACATGTGGCTGTGGGTAGGAGGTTGAAGTTCCTCATCATGTGGGCCTAAACCATAGAGCTGCTTGAGTCTTCTCATGACAAGGCAGTTGGCTTTCCCCACAGTGAGATGCAAAAGACAGAGAGCAAGGAGGAAGCCATAGTGCCTCTTGTGACCCAGTCTCAGATGTCATAGCCTGTCATTTTGGTTCATTCTATTCATTAGAAGTGAATCATTAAGTTCATCCCACATTCTTCTACCTCTTGAAGAATGGAATGTCAAAAAATTTGTGGACCTATTTTATTTTTATATGTTTTTAAGAGACAGAGTCTCACTCTGTCCCCTTTGGTAGAGTGCTGTGGCATCACAGCTCACAGCAACCTCCAGTTCTTGGGCTTAGGCAATTCTCTTGCCTCAGCCTCCTGAGTAGCTGGGGCTACAGGTGCCTGCCACAATGCCTGGCTATTTCTTTATTGCAGTTTGGCCAGGACTGGGTTCGAACCAGGCACCCTTGATATATGGGGCTGGTGCCCTACTCATTGAGTCACAGGAGCTGCCCTATTTTTTTTTTTTTTTTTTGAGACAGAGTCTTACTATGTTGCCCTTGGTACAGTGCCGTGACATCATGGTTCACAGCAACCTCAAACTCTTGGGCTTAAGCAATTCTCTTGCCTCAGCCTCCCAAGTAGGTGGGACTACAGGTGCCCGCCACAAGCCACAATGCCTGACTATTTTTTGGTTGTAGTTGGCCTGGGCTGGATTTGGACCCATCAGTTCCGGTGTATATGAATGGCGCCCTAGCTGCTGAGCTATAGGCACCGAGCCTGTGGACCTATTTTAAAATAATCATAGAGAACTTCAGACCACTTTCTTGCAGAAGGAAAGTCAGGTGGAATATGCTTCAGAAGCCATAACGTGCTGACTGGATGTGAGTGAGTGGTGCTTATATAATAACTTCCTGCTTGCTTGCATTGTTCAGAAAATTACAGCAACCAGGGCTAACATTTCCAGAGCAGTTGCAATCTTCCAAACACTGTGCTAGACACTATGCACACATTATCTCATTGGATCCTCATCTTGTGCCTTTATCATGGGCACATTTATCTCCATTTAATGGTTAAGGAAACTGGGGCTTGGGGTGAGAGCGGTGGCTCATGCCTGTAATCCTAGCACTCTGGGAGGCTGAGGCTGGTGGAACACTTAAACTCAGGAGTTCAAGACCAGCCTGAGCAAGAGTGAACCCCCCACCTCTACTAAAAATATAAAAACTAGCTGGGCGTTGTGCCAGGTGCCTATAGTCCCAGCTACTTGGGAGGCTGACGCAAAAGAATCACTTGAGCCCAAGAGTTTGAGGTTGCTGTGAGCTGTGATGCCATGGCACTGTACTGAGGGTGACAAAGTGAGACTCTGCCTCAAAAAATAAAAAAATAAAAAAAGGGAAACTGAGGCTCAGAGGAGGAGAGTAAGTTACCCAGAGTCACATAGCTATGAAAGGTTTGAGCTGGGATTTCAAATCAGGTCTGTCTTTAAAGCACTTGTTCACCTTCTAGATTTTCTGGCCCTGGCCCTGCACCATTCAATAGAAATATAATACAAGCCACTTATGTAATTTAAAATTTTCTAGTAGCCACGTTATAAAAAGTTAAAAAAAGATAGGTGGGGCAGCGCCTATGGCTCAAAGGAGTAGGGTGCTGGTCCTATATACCTGAGGTGGTGGGTTCAAACCCAGCCCCGGCCAAAAACTGCAAAAAAAAAAAAAGGTAGAAATAATTTTAATAACATATTTTATTTAACCCAATGTATCCAAAATATTATCACTTGGCCTGATGCAGTGGTTCATGCCTGTAATCTTTTTTTTTTTTTTGAGACAGAGCCTCAAGCTGTCCCCCTGGGTAGAGTGCTGTAATCTTAGCACTCTGGGAGGTAGAGGTAGAGGTGAGCAGATTGCTTGAGCTCATGAGTTTGAGACCAGCCTGTGCAAGAATGAGACTCTGACTCCACTAAACATGAAAAACTGAGGCAAGAGGATTGCTTGAGCCCAACAGTTTGAGATTGGTGTGAGCTATAACATCACGGCACTCTACTAAGGGTGACAATGTGAGACTTTTGTCTCAAGAAAAAAAAAAAGAAAAGAAAAAAAATAGCTGGGTGTTGTGGTGGGTGCCTACAGTCCCAGCTACTCAGGAGGCTGAGGCAAGAGGTTCAGTTGAGCCCCAGAGTTTGAGGTTGCTGTGAGCTATGATGCCAGGGCACTCTACTGAGGGTGAGAAAATGAGACCCTGTCTCAAGAAACAAACAAAAAAAACCTTTATTAACCCTTTATTAGACTATTTTCCCTCTATTGCCTGCGTGTGACACTGTCCAAGTGGAAATACAAAGCAAGCAACCGTGATTTTCTAATAGATTTTACAGCAGGCACAGTGCATGCCTGTATCTCTTGCACCTCACAGAAGAGATATTTCTAGCTAATTCTAGCTAACTCTTCAGGACAGCTAATAACTAGGTGGT